TATATTACTTACTAACTAACTTATATCTCACTACTACTATCCTCCTCTCTCTCTCTCTCTCTCTCTCTCTCTTGCTGCACACAGGCATTTTTTTCTTCCTTGGGTCACCATATATGTTACTCTGGATGCACATCATTAGTAATGCAACACTGTTTCCTTAAGTGATCCAAATACTACTTTATAACTACCATATATGAATTTTCTGGGCGAGTTCATCTGATTTTCTCTCTTTGTATGGAGGATTTATATTGTAGGGAGTAGAAAAGAATCTAACAAAGAATTGTACTAGTGTTGAAGACTACCCAGGACAGGTATGAATTTAACATGGTTATTCTGTAGAACATTTGAGTCGCTTATGATTTGGGATGTTGGCTTGGGTTCTTAACTTCTTTTTTGTTATTGCAGTGTTTCTTTCCACAGTATGAGCTACCTTTCCTTGAAACACCGTTTTTTATTCTAAATTCTGCATACGATATTTTTCAGGTAAGAGATGGTGTGCATGTCTCTCTCTCTCTCCTCCCCCCCCCTATGTGTGTGTGTGTGCATGCATGTATGTATATATTTGTTTTCTTTTTATAGATGCTCGTTGTATTATGTAGAAATTAGTTGAATCATTGGTTCTTTTCATTGCATTGTAGTTTCATAACATATTGGTTCCAAGTTCTGCTGACCCACATGGAGATTGGAATGTCTGCAAGTTAAATCCTTTAAAATGTGACCTGCATCAATTTTATGTTTTGCAAGGTAAAGCCGTATTATTCTCCGTGTTATTAAATGCCTTTAATAAGTATGTTCTTTGTTTGATATTATCTACAGTATGTTGTGAAGCCTTCTATTCTGAATGTTTTGGTTCCAAATTTGTTCATACAACGGTTTTTTATTTGGCAGCTTTCAGGATTAACATGATCTCAACATTGAGGTCTTTCAATACTTCAAAGACCAGGGGAATTTTTATAAACTCATGTTTTGCTCATTGCCAATCCGAATCACAAGATACATGGTTGGGAGAGAAGTCACCTAGCGTTCGCCATAAGGTAAGGTATTATAACTGCTAACTTTTTCAAGTGGGCTCCTTCATTGCAGTGGAATTACTAAATCATTTGGGACATCATAAAATATAAATTAAATTAATGATATTCAAAAAATAAAAATGACCAAATCTTCCACCAAAATTGAAGAATAATTAATTTCCTTATTTCTGAGAGTCCCCCTTCTCTCCCTCCTCTCTCTCTCTCTCTNNNCTCTCTCTCCTCCTCCTCCCTCCCTCCCTCCCTCCCTCCCTCC